GCTACCCGAATTGACGACAACGATATCTAGTCGAGTGTCGTTGTTGATATCACCAACAACTACAGATTGTGGATAATCGCTAACTGAATATCTTATTTGATTTTCAAAAGAACTATTTCCATTTCCAAGAAGAACACTCACATCATTGCTCCCAAAATTGGCGACAACGATATCTAGTCGAGTGTCGTTGTTGAAATCACCAACGGCTATGGATAGTGGCATAGAGCCAGCTGAATACTTTACTTGATTTTCAAAAGAACCATTTCCATTTCCATGAAGAACACTCACATCATTGCTACCCGAATTGACGACAAATATATCTAGTCGAGTGTCGTTGTTGAAATCACCAACAACTACAGATTGTGGCCAAGAGTCAGCTAAATACCTTATTTGATTTTGAAAGCCCTCGTAGCGCCCAACGAGAATATCTATGGCACCAGTGTCATTGTTTACAACGACAACATCTAATCGATAGTCCTTATTCAGATCACCTATGGCAACAGAAATCGAAGAATAAGATCCAGTCGGATACATAATTGGATTTTCAAAATTACCATTTTCATATCCAAGAAGTACAGCTATATTTTCAAGGCCGTTATTAGTGACGACGATGTCTAATCGATTATCTTGGTTGAAGTCTCCGACGCCAATCGTATATGGAAAAGCAGAATTGAGAGAATAGGTGGCTTGACTGGCGAAAGTTCCGTTACCGTTGTTTAAGAGTACACCTATTTTGCCAGTTCCGGAATTCGCGATAGCGATATCTAGAAAGTTGTCGGTATGGAAATGACCGACGGCAATTGAGTATGGATGGGAATCAGGTCCAGTTGAAAAGGTGATTTGTTTTTCAAAAGTTCTGTTGCTGTTTCCGAAAAGTATGCCTACATTATTGGTTCCATAATTGGCAATGGCGAGATCTAAATGGTTGTCGTTATTGAAATCTCCAGCAGCTAAAGAAGATGGTAGAGAATCATAACCTGTTGTATATGTAATTGGAGGTGAAAAGTTTCCATGGCCATATCCATAGAATATACTAACACTGTGAGTTTCGTGATTGGCAGTGGCAATATCAAGTATGGAATCATTGTTGAAATCAACGGCAATAATTGCTATTGGACGAGATGAGCCTGTTGAAAGTTCTATTTGACTTGCAAAAGATCCATTCCCAAATCCATGAAAAATCTGGACATTGTTAGTGCCGAAATTTGCTACTGCAAGATCTAATCGGTTGTCATTGTTCAAATCAGCAACTGTGACCATGTAAGGACTAGAGTAAGAACCTGTTGAATACATCGTTGGATTTTTAAAAGTGCCATCACCATTTCCCAAATAGACAGCTATTTTATTCACTAAATGATTGGCAATAACCATATCCAAAACCGTGTCATTATCAAAATCACCAAGTGCGACAGATCGTGGGCCATACTTATATTCAACCGGCTTTTGAACCGTTGGTTTGAAATTGATGGCACACTTTGAAACTAAACGATACATCAAAATCAATATGATGATTGACTGTTTCTTTCAGAGAAACTATCTATCCTAGATTCTTTCGAATTATCAAAACTCTTATAAAATACCGTCAGAAATTATTGTATGACTGTATTTTGAGACAATTGAAAACCATCAGCTTTCAAAAGAACTATGATCAGTTTCTTGAAATTTAGATAGAGTGAAATATAGAAATTCATCAATTAGGCCATTGGTATATTCCCATTCTCGCAATTACTGTAAATTTCGTTCAAAAACTATGTTGTCTTACCCTGTTCCAGGACCGGACGGATATCAAAACTGTTATGTTGCGTGATGCTTTCGGTGATTGAGTCACTATTTTGGTTTGACAGTCACATTAACAAATCCTATATGACAATAACTGCTACAAACACTTGAGAACAACAAAAGAGACAGGCATGTGGTCAGTAGCGAAGAGAATTGGAATCTACTGACTGAGTGACCATGCACAAACAGCACAATATCTGAGTGAAGAAGACAAGAAATATCGTACAAACAATAATGCGCTACAATAGTAGGTGTATGTGTTAGCGGTTACGTCATAAGAACATTAAAAATTGATCGACAGTTTTTGAGTAACAAGTGTATAGCTATTTATTACTGTTGTTTTCTATACAGTGAGCAATGTGTGACTTCTATCGATATATCCAATTGCAAATAGTGATCAATATTCTTGGTCCTTTAGTTGCAAATCTTCGATAACATCTGATTTTCCTTACAAGATAAGTTGCCTGATACCTCATTTAATAATACTCTTAGTATGCCATGGGTTTTACTCATTTTTACCATCGACAGATGTAAAGGATATGTAATAGAAATGTACCTACTATCTGTTTAATTTGTTAAGATAGTCGTCTACTAATGAGTTGTTAATCAGGTAGATTTCTTATTTTACGACTTCTATACAACGTTTTATTGTTACAAATAATAGTAACGAAAAAAAATAAACTAGAATAAAATAAGGAGTTTGGAGCTCTCTGGGGAATGCGAGGTTGAACATACATGAGTCTTACAGAAAGATAGAAAAAGAAGATGAATGTGTCAGAACATACTCGAGAAGAAATGTATACTTGTCTTCTAGATATGAAAGTGCAAAGAAAGAAGATATAGATAAAACAGATATTGGGCGTTCCAAAATGTTTGCAATATGATGTATTTCCCACATATCTAAGCATGAATATATACCCACGAAAAGCAACAGTTGGACACTGTATTTTGGGCATATCGTTACTATAACAGCATATTTTTAAAATAATAATACCATATTCGGAAAACACGTGAAATCCTCTACCAGCCTTTGTATTTGTATTTTAGTTTTAGATTTTGAATGATCAACATCAATTGATTATAATGAAGACACCCTCATGTCCAGATTCCCATAAACATGATTTTGTCACTGTACTCAAATTAAGTTTTTTAGATTTTGCATCACCGTAGAATGATTGTTTTGAAAGAGCAATCATATGTTCTGATAGCGCTTAAAATTCTCTATGTTTTTATATATTTGTTTACTCTCTTACATTTACCTATTATAAAAATAATATAAGAACAATGAAATCATCTCAATTGACAATTTCGAAAAATCTTGTGTATGATATATTTTTTTTGAGCTATAAGTACAAAGAAAATGATTTCTTTATAAAAGTGATTATGTATTCTGATAAAGCTTCAAATTCTCTGTCACGCTATATATTTTTGTTTTTTCATATATTAGTGTGTTGAATACTAAATCGAGTAATATTCAAACATCCTCGTTGATCAATCCTACGTTAGACAGAAAATTTTAAAAAAATAGCGAAAAAAGTTGTGGATTTTTTCGAAATTGTCAATTGAGATGATTTCATTGTTCTTATATTATTTTGATAATAGGTAAATGTAAGAGAGTAAACAAATTTATAGGAAGATAGAGAATTTTAAGCGCTATCAGAATATATAATTGCTCTTTCAAAACAATCATTCTACGATGATACAAAATCTAAAAAACTTAATTTGATTACAGTGACGAAATCGTGACTGGGAATCTGGGCATGAGGGTATCTTCATTGTATGAAATTTATGTTGATCATTCAGCGTTGAAAACTAAAATACATATACACAGGTTGGTAGAGGATTTCACGCGCTTTCCGAATATGGTATTATTATTTAAAAAATATGCTGTTATAGTAACGATATGCCCAAAATACAGTGTTCAACGTTTGCTTCTCGGGGGTATATATAATAAAAAGGTTTTCTTTCCAAAGATCAATGTCAGCAGCTCTACAAATAATGCTGAACCAGGTCTCTACTTACATGTTCTGATCATTTTTTCCTATAGCCAAAATGCAATATCAACATACTAGTGCTACTTCAGACCATATTTAGGATAATAGAAACGTTGCAAAGAACGTTTTTACTTCGTATATCTATATCAGACTCAGAAAACAATAATTTCTTGATTTCGTTCTTGAAAGATATGCCATCGAAAGCTCTACTAAAGATATGTAAAAAATCTCTATCGACTTACTGTGATGATTTCTCTACATGGTTGAAATTAAAAGGTGAATAATGTTCCTATCACATGTTCTAAATAGGACTCACTACTTATGTTTACTAATCTTGATAACAAAGAATAAACAGAAATGAATCCTTTATTTTTATAAAATAAAGATAAAGCACAGGAATAAAGGATTCGTTCTGCTAACGATATTCCTGTTGCAAGTTCTAAAAAACCACAGAACTCCTGCTCAGTAAGAATTTTATCGTCAAATAAATATATATGAATTGAAAATGAGCTAGCTGACACATCAAATGAAATATTTTTTTGCTAGTATTTAGGAGATTTTATGAAAGCAATGTTCACAAATATCTCTGAAAAGATAAATGATAAACTCTTGAGTTCTTGTCAAAAATATGAACAAATCTTTCCTAACTTGTTCGAGTAGTTTCTTCTCTATTTGCTATGAAAAATGATGCATAAGAGTGCTATTTTCTACTGTATTTAGAATAAATAAAATGTTAGAAAGATTTGTATTTTTTGTGTGTATCTTGGCTTGAGAAAATGATGGAACCCTGATTTTTTCAAAAGATACTTCGTCAAAAACTCTATAAATGCTGTATGAGTAAATTCCTCTTTCAAAATAAAAAAAGGTCTTCCAACCTTTTTTTATTATTCTAAATACGATGGAAAGTAGCACCTATATGTAGGTGTTTCATTTCGACTATAGGGACAATCATTAGAGCATCTTAGTAGGGCTCTGTTCCGGCATTTGTTTTGTAGAGCATTTGACGACGTATCCCATGAAAAATAACCAAGCGTTTTTATCACTTATTTTTGCTGAGATATTTGCGAATCACTGCGTATCAGAAACATTTTGGACTACCGAATATAATGCTTACTCTCCTCTACAGGCAGCGTACAGTGTCAAAGTATAAAGATGTGTTTCGTGAAGACGAAATGTTTACTATTGTCGCGTTCTATGAGACAATTACTTGTATTTTCGCTTTATCTTTTCTTATTTTTATTGTATCCAAGAACATATCGATACGAAAGAGACAAAGAAATCAAGGATAAACTGCTGTTTTCGTTGAGAGCTGTGAAAGAGTACCACTAAAAATAATAGAAGAAGTGATTAGAGAACATTCACTAAGATAGAGTTGATCTTTCGGCAACTAAGGACAATGGGTAACATTAATTTGTAGAAAATCAGATCGTGGAATTGTTTCCTTTTATTGCTATATAGAAAGACTAAGAGAAGATGACTATCCGCATTGCTCTAGAACTAAGCGGCAACTGAATGGCTCTTTCTGGAATTCTTCCCTAATCTATAATTCCTACCGATAAGTGACATAGTAAAGTTCGACTTAGAAACAAAGTATGGCGTCTATTGGCGATGATCACCATGGCGATGTTGCACTAGTTCAAGGAAATTTGGAATGAGAAAGAGAAGCAGTCGTGATACTTATAATTCTGTTCTCACTGCATGGTTTAAGTTTTTTTAAACAAAACTCACAATACTGATGAAACAGAACCTAGTCAACTATGGATTTTTGTCGTATTTAATAGAAAGAATGCAAAGCAGCAAGTACGTACCTGATTTTGGTGCGGTAAAGCAAACCACTAGTATACCTATGATCGTAACTGCACTTGTAATCATAGGTAACACAAAGATAGGTTTGATTATGAAGCCCAACATCAACCAGTGAGGATATTTCCTAAGAAAGAGCAGCAGTGATATTATTTTACATTAAAATAAAAAGAATTATACATGTTCTGTTGCAGCGTGTCATTTTCTATGTGATTGATAGTTTCATCTTGAACGTCTCTTGCATCTTGTGCATTTGCCATTGTCTTTTGCTTGTTGTCTGAATTAACCAACCCGTTTTTCTTAGAAAACCAAGGACTAATTAATTCAGCGTTGTTATTCACGGTTACCACTTCCATCTAACAAGAAACAGTAGTTAAGGAAGAACATGTGCCTAACATGAACATGGAAATATATCTTTAAAAATGGAGAGTTTCTATAGATGATTGCTCGTGTAGTTTTTCTGATTAATCTGTTCAGTCAATATACATACATGCATAAACGTTTCTGTTCTGTTTCAAGGAATTTTCAACTATCAAATAAATATGTTTAATATGTTGTGGACGCTGCACAAGATTTTTGACCAGCAACATTTACTCGATC